TAGGGTGGGAGAGGCTTTTTGCTGAATTGGGGTTCATTTTTCTATTGAGAGCCTGGTGTGGTACAGGCAGGGTTTTAGGTGCAGCTGTCGTGAGTGCTACAAACGCTAAGACACTGAGCAGGATCAGGCCCGAGGGCTGTGTTCAGGATGCAGTGGCCCTGCGCAGTCTATAGACAGCAGGCTCTTCCTCCTCTGTGTGAATTGTCCATCATCACAGACCCTCCATCCTGTCCAGATCCCATCTGATGAGAGGCTCTGGGCACTTCTGGGGCTCAGAAGATGGGGTGTCCCCTTCGGTCCTCACAGCATGCTCACCTGTAGAAATATGTTTCCCAGGTGACCCCTGCCTCTATCTGATTCTTCCAAAGCTTTTGGTCTTGCTGGCTTAAGTAGGGTCCTACAGTGCAGGTGGGGTGGAGGTGGGGTGATGCAGGAGAATATGGGAAAGACGGGAAGGATTTTGTGGTGGCTACTGACTGCCCCACACCTTGGCTCCTCCACAGTGACAAAATGGGGATTCCACTATAAGACCCCCAGGATATTTAAAGCAAGGATGAGGAGCAAATCTGTGTTTGTCCTCCACCCCAGTTCACCTGAGAGAGAGTAGGGAGGGAAGGCAGTCAGAAAGGTTAAACTGACATAGCCGCAGCCTGCGCCACAGTTCCAGCAGGGAGGAGCGTGGGTTGCTAATCAAGGTGTCACGGTTCTGGCCACTAGGTTCCTGTCACTCAGCCTTGATTCAGACTGCCTGACAAAGTTGGCTGAAACCACGCGGTTCGGCAGGTCACGTTTTCCCCCTCGAAAGGGTAATGCGAGACCCTGACGTGCCCAGTGAAGTCTGTGGCACATTCCATGTCTGTCCTGCCCTCTACCAGTGCCATGTTGGCAGACCGTGGGATGGGTGCTCACATTTAAGGGGCCCAGAAACAGCCAAGTCCTGTCTCCCTCAGTCTCCCACTTTCAACTTAGGCTGTCGCAGTTCTGCTTCTGTCCAGTAGAGGGCACTCGTGTCAAGCTGCTGAGTCTTTCGGTGGTTGGTTTGCTCTGTGTGTGTGTGTGTGTGTGTGTGAGAGAGAGAGAGAGAGAGAGAGAGATGGGGGTGTCTTGAGGAGACAGTTTTATATATGCACATTAGGAGGGTCCACAGGGAAATGGATGAGGCATCATTCTGCTGAGCACATCGCTCAGAAAGCTGTGCCCTCCCGGCATGTGCTTGTCTGTAAGAGGCCAAAACCACAACTCAGTCTGGCTTCAAAGATGCAGAAAGCTCCCTCACAGCAGACTTGGAAACATCACCAGGGTCCCCTGCTGTGCCATCCTGAGCATTCTGTCTGTGCTCTCAAGCCATTTTGCTCGTGGTTGGCACTGGCAGCCAGGGGACACCCCTTTCCTCCTGTCCCTTGGGTAGGAGCACGAACTGGCTTGCCCCCAGTCTGACTGGTCCCTCTTTGCATGTCATGGGCTTGGGCCAGAGCTCCAGAGGTGAGCTGTCCACACCCTGAGAGTCACATGTCTCTGCCTCCTCTGGGTCCTAGGAGACTCAGCACGGTGGCTCAGAGGAAGTGTGCACACACTAAGGAACCCTTAGGAAGAGCGGGCGTAGATGGAGGTGAGCACCCTGTGCTGACTTAACCTGGAGGTCCAGGCCAGGGTACCTCGGTCCGGTGACTTCTGGCTATGCTCACTGCTTAGGTTTAAAACCCTGTTTCAAGTAGTATGGATGGGAAGGGCAGTGCCTGCCTCGCACTGGCCCGCCTTGGCTCTGAATCGTGACGGCAGCAGTGCACCCGGGGTGCTTCGGAATGCACATGGTTTGTGTGGCCCTTCGTCAAGTGTCCCTGCCCTTTCCACTTCCTGCATTGGAGGCCTCACCTGTTGGGGATCCTAACTGAACGAAATGACTCCTGTGTACATCAGAAAACGTTTGGGTGCCAGAACTTGAATTTCAAGCAGTGCATGGCTTCTCATCACCAAAACCTGCGACAGGGCTGCCAAATGTGTGCTTTTTCTAGAGTGCCTGAATCCCAAAAGAAAGGCCACCCGGACCAAGTGAATGAATGTACCTGGCCTTTGATGTGCCTCGGTACTGGCACTGTCTGATGACTATACCATCCCAAATATAAGGGGTTCTGTTTGGAGATAGATGTTGGCCCCAAACCTGGACCTTGCTGAAGTTCTGCAGAGCTCTGGTGGTGGTAATGTCCTTACGTCATAGCTCGAGCGTGTAAGGGGTCTCCCCTGGCATCCTCAGAGGCTGTTGAAACCACATGGTAACTCGTCTAAACAAATGGCCCCTGGGGCTGGTGAGATGACTCAGTAATCTCCTTACCTCTAAATACTGGCACTGGGCAGAGGCAAGAGGATCCCGGAGATCGCTGCCCAGCCAGTCTAGCTGAATCAGTGAGTACCAGGTTCAGTACAGACCCTGTCCCCAAAATACAAGGTGTAGAGCAGTCAAGGAAAAACATGTGATGTTGGCCTCTGGCCTCCAAGCACACATGCACACATGTGCCCGTGAAAACACACACGAGATTTAAACAGTCTAGGACTTGTGATTTTGACTCACAACTGCTTTTTAGTGAGAGTCATTACCAGGGAGCTTTGCTGAAGCCGCTGTGGAGGGAACGCACCGTGGGAGTGTGCTGAGGTGCCTGGCTGGGTTGACTCCTCTCTCTCTCCCTCCACAGGCTTTTTCTTGTCCTCCGACACACAGAGGGATGGATGCGTGAAGCCCACCTGACTGTGGCACTTCCCAGCAGTCGTCATCTCTCTAAGACCCCTTGGTGACAGTAGTATGCACCTCTCCGCGGTGCTCAATGCCCTCCTGGTGTCCGTGCTGGCTGCCGTCCTGTGGAAGCATGTGCGCCTGCGCGAGCATGCAACCACCCTAGAGGAAGAGCTGGCCCGTGGGCAGCAGTCCCTGGACCCGGTCTCAGGACTGAAGGTTGACTACCCAAAGGCCCTGCAGATCCTCATGGAGGGTGGCACCCAGATGGTGTGCACAGGCCGCACCCACACGGATCGCATCTGTCGCTTCAAGTGGCTCTGCTACTCTAATGAGATCGAAGAGTTCATCTTTTTCCATGGCAACTCATCCATGATGCTGCCCAATCTGGGCTCCCGGCGCTTCCAGCCGGCACTCTTGGACCTGTCCACCGTGGAGGACCATAACGCCCAGTACTTCAACTTTGTGGAGCTGCCTGCCGGAGCCCTGCGCTTCTTGCCAAAGCCAGTGTTTGTGCCCGATGTGGCCCTCATCACCAACCGCTTCAACCCCGATAACCTTATGCATGTCTTCCATGACGACCTGCTGCCTCTCTTCTACACGCTGAGGCAGTTCCCCGGCCTGGCCCAAGAAGCCCGGCTCTTCTTCATGGAGGGCTGGGGCGAGGGCGCCCACTTTGACCTGTACAAACTCCTTAGCCCCAAGCAGCCGCTACTACGCTCGCAGCTCAAGACGCTGGGCCGTTTGCTCTGCTTTTCCCATGCTTTTGTGGGTCTGTCCAAGGTCACCACCTGGTACCAGTATGGCTTTGTCCAGCCCCAAGGCCCAAAGGCCAACATCCTAGTCTCTGGCCATGAGATCCGGCAGTTCACGCGATTCATGACCGAAAAGCTGAACGTGAGCCACACGGGGGCGCCGCTGGGCGAGGAATACATTCTGGTCTTCAGTCGCACCCAGAACAGGCTCATCCTGAACGAGGCAGAGCTGTTGCTGGAGCTAGCACAAGAGTTCCAGATGAAGACAGTGACGGTGTCGCTGGAGGACCACAGCTTTGCAGACGTGGTGCGGCTGGTGAGCAACGCCTCCATGCTAGTCAGCATGCACGGCGCCCAGCTGGTCACGGCCCTCTTCCTGCCCCGTGGATCTACCGTGGTTGAGCTCTTCCCCTACGCTGTCAATCCTGACCACTACACCCCCTACAAGACGCTGGCCACCCTGCCTGGCATGGACCTGCAGTATGTAGCCTGGAGAAACATGATACGGGAGAATACAGTCACGCACCCCGAACGGCCCTGGGACCAAGGGGGCATCACCCACCTGGACCGGGCTGAGCAGGCCCGCATCCTCCAGAGCCGAGAGGTCCCCCGGCATCTCTGTTGCCGGAACCCAGAGTGGCTCTTCCGAATCTACCAGGACACCAGAGTGGACATCCCGTCCCTCATACAATCCATTCAGCGTGTGGTGAAGGGCCGGCCGGGACCGCGGAGGCAGAAGTGGGCATACAGCCTGTACCCAGGCAAGGTGCAGGATGCTCGATGCCAGGCATCTGTGCAGGGCGCCACCGAGGCCCACCTGTCTGTGTCCTGGCAGATGCCATGGAACCTCAGGTACCTTAAAGTGAAGGAGGTGAGGTATGAGGTGTGGCTGCAGGAGCAAGGGGAGAACACGTACACGCCGTACATGCTGATCCTGCAGAACCACACCTTCACAGAGAACATCAAACCTTTCACCACCTACCTGGTGTGGGTCCGCTGCATCTTCAACAGGAGTCTCCTGGGACCTTTCGCAGATGTACTGGTGTGTAACACGTAGCCAGTAGGCAGCGGCCAGGCCTCAGGAGGGAGGCCTTGGCGGTCAGCTCTCCCAGGTCCACAGCCCTGTTAGCAACTGTGGTGATGACTTACCTATTTATTGCGTGGGCCTGGGCTAGGCCTTCTCCCAGGGGCTTCTTACTGCTGCGGGTGTGCCCTAAAGAGGTGGCACCCTCCCCTTCTGCCACTCTGAGGGGAATTCCTTTGTGGTGAGGAGGAGGCACCCGTAGGTCCCAGGGATCAGCTCTCACTAATTGATCTGCTGTCTCCTGCCGTGGCCACGGTAACGGTCCTGGCTTCTAGAAACAGTGGTCGTGTGGTTGGTGGGCTAGGCAGATGGTCTCTGTGAATTTCACCTGTAGCTGAGTGACAGGTGTGCTTGGAGCAGTCATTAAATGGTGAACATCTATGGTCAAGTCTTTTTAATGTCATATTAGCATATATGAACTATACCTCGTAATGGGTTTCATGACATTTTCATGCATATATATGGTACATTCCAATCCGTTCTCCCTGTTAAACTTTTCTGTTCCCCTTCCTACTGACCCTTTCCTCTCTCCAGCCCACCCCTCCTATTTTCATGTCCTTTTGTGTGTGTCTTTATTTGAGCCAATGAGTTGCACACGGAAGAGGGTTTGTTTGCACAGGCCTTGCCATCGACCACCCAACTGAAGAAAATGGCTCCCTTCATCCAATGATTATAATCCTCAGTGAAGGGTGAGGTCCCATGCGCTCATCCCACTTCTATGATGGGGTGGAGATGGACCCCCATCTTGTGTTGGTCATTGCAGCTGCTGTGAGGTCAAGAATGCCCAGAAGTCGGTGTCCCACATCCCCTGCATCATTATTGCCACTGTCATGGTGTTCCCTGGAGAGACTGAGGTCGATGCCCCACGGATGGGCATCCAATAGTCGCTTGTCCCCAGCACTTTAACCATGTATCAGTCTGCAGGTACTGCTGGCCGCCACAAAAGGACGCCCTCCCAAAGCTGACAGCAGCCCTGGTCCACAGGCGTGAAAGAAGACAGTTTCATGGGTGTGTCACATCCATGAAACATAACAGCAGCAGCTTCCCCATTGGGGCCCATGACGTACCCAACCACAGGCTTCTAACAGGTTATACTGTCAAACCTGTGGAGTGGGCCTCAGAGCCAATCAGAAAGCAGTTGGTTGCCCCGTGACAGACCCGCTACTATTGTAGTGCATCAGTCGGCGCATCCTGTCTGGCAGGCTGGTGTTGCACGCAGAGTCTGCTGCCATGTAAGACTTGTTATTCTCCCAGAACCCTGCGTAACACTTTATAACACTATGAGGGTTGGTGGGCAGGGAGGAAGCTTCCAGTTCCAACTTGATGTCTCTGTCCTGGGACAGATGTTTGGTGTCTTCAACTGTAGGGGTTTAGCATCTAGCATTGGTGGTAAACTAACACAGGGGCAATTGCCTGTATTTGGGGGTGGCCTTAGGAGCCACCTTAAGCTGACAGCTCAGAGGGAGATAGTCTTGGCAAGTCTTGGACAACGGGAAGCAAAGTTGGCAGTGAGTACCCAGCTCTTTCATTTTGCTTGTCAAGGGAGATGACACAGTGGGCTAGGAACAGTGCTGTGGAGGGAACACGTGCCCACTTGCACAGGCAGTGTCTCACACAGAGGCCATGAAGCGGAGCACATCCATAGGGGATATCCATAAAGTCACATTTGACCTGGGTTGTGCGTGGTCATGCTGATTGCAGTCAGCAGTGAGACATAGGCATGCTCTCATTAAAGTCAGGAGTAAGATGGAGACATCGCTGTAGCTGTCACTCAACCGTCTTCCCCAGAAACAATGAAGGTTACACACCACCATAAATGAGGAATTAAAAATAAAATTTAAAATTTGATTTTCCCCTTAAAGACTCATACAAATATTTATCCGAAGGGCTAGAAATATTTCTCAGCAGTAAAAGCAACACCTGCTGTCCCAGAGAAACCAACTTTAGTTACCAGAACTCAGGAAGCAGCTCACAGTTAATCTGTAGCTCCAGTTCCAGAGGATGCAGCGACCTCTCCTGACTTCCGTGGGCATTGCATGCCTGTGGTGCACAGACATACATGCAGACAGAACACACAAAATAAAATAAATATTTCTAAGTGAATACTTGTGCTACCAGACAGAATAAAGTTACTTTGATTAGAACAGTGTCCCGTTGAAGCGGGGAGTTGAGAAACCCTATCAGCAGAATATAGTACAGTCCTGAGTGGGCCTCTGTGTACTTGGGAGCTTATCTGATAAGGGTGTGCCGTCAGATCAGTGGGAACGGAATAGACTCTTGAACAGAATCTGGAGCAAGGAAGCTTAAGTTACACCCCTAACCAAACCACTCTCACATGCAAATTTCATACAAATACAGCAAAGGAGAAGGACACAGCTGATATCTCAGCGATCTGAAGGGGCAGCAGCCTGAGAAGGCAGCAACCCTGGGAGATTCACGGGCAAAAATGAACCAATTTGACTGCATAGAATTAGTTTCCGACTTTGCAGAAGACAGAGTCAAGCCATAGATGGCCGACTGAGAGGAAACAGACGAGTGTAGCAGCAGGGGCTGAGTATATGCAGCTCAGAGTCAGAACTCTAACGGTGCTACCAAGGAAGGGCAAACGTCTTACACGGGGAAGCCGGCTAACCAAACATGCCATGGCCAACATGGACATGATCATTCCTACGATAATAAGGGAAATTCGGTTTTTACAGCAGCCTCCTCCCCGTTGCCACTGGAAAGATGGCTCAATGGTTAAGAGTATTTGTTGCTCTTGTGGAGGATTACAGAGTTCAGTTCCCAGCACCCATACCAGGCAGCTCACAACCCCCTGTAACTCCAGTTCGCACCTGCACACATGTGGCACACACACACACACACACAAATAAATAAAAATTAGGGGCTGGAGAGATGGCTCAGTTACTAAGAACACTGGTTGCTCTTCCGGAGGACCCAGGTTCAATTTTCACCACCCACATGGCAGTCCATAATTGTCTGTAAGTCAAGTCCCAGGGGTCTGGCCCCCTCTCTGGCCTCTGCAGTCACCAGGTATGCACATGGGGCACAAATGGGTGCAAGACACCCATGTACCTAAAAATAAATTTTTAATTTAAAAAAAATCTTAAAAAATAGGCTTCTGTGGTTGGACATACAGTTGGTAGAGTACTTGCCTAGTATGCATGACACTCCAGGTTCATTACTTACATACCTCCACACACATGCACACACACAGTACTGCATGCACACGTGCAGGGAACAGTTCACAGAACATCCTTAAACATATTTATTGCTGTGTGGCAGTAAACAGTCAGAGCTGAGAATGCAGGCAGGAATGTGCCCTTGAAGGCGCTCCGCCATCCCCAGCAGGTGAGCCGTCTGTCCTGTGGCACCGTAGGCTCCTCCAGCTTCTGACTTTCCCCATTTGTCTGGGGTGGCCAACTGTTGTCAAGGAAATGCTGCCAATGGGAGGCACACTCACCAGGCTTATGTCATGGGAAGTCCTCCAGCAAGGTGTGCTCTGCCCAGACAGAGGTGGACTCACAGGTCCTTGTCCCGGAACAGCGTGAGGTTGTGCCTCTGTATGTGTCTCAGCAGGACCTGCCCTCGCCTCTCCAGTGTCTCTAGGATGTGCTTCAGACCTCTGGCTCCGCCTTGGCTCTCCCAAAACACCCAGTCCATCTGCAGCGACTTGAGCAGGAGGTTCTGTAGACACCCTGATGCGAGAACCTTCACGACGGACTCAGGAAACCTGGGGCCAAAGCCCCGGAGCCGTGCAGGAGAAGAAAGGCACAAGTGAGCTCAGAGTCTCCACAAAGAGTGAGCCCTGAACTTGCCCCCGGGGGAACCCAGCACAGTCAGCCAGGGAAATGCCAGGTCTGTGCCTTCTAGCTCCTTGTCAGAGGATTCTGTGACCTGCTATGTCCTGGAAGCAGACAGTAGTGCTCTCGGATGGGCCCCATCCGACGGTGAAGCCTGGAGAACAAATCTACCACTCTGGGCCCCAAAAGGCCCTGAGAAAGCTGAGCCACCTACTGAGAGTGGACAAGGAAGAGCAGGTCCCCAGGCTAGCTCTTTCACCTAGATCCAGGATGAGCTAGCCTGCACAAACTGAGGGAGGGCAGCTGGTATTGTGCAGGAACCAGAAGCCCTCTGGATACGGGGCGGGACAGACCCAATTCCTGTGGGCCCTCTCAGTCTTCCTCAGTCTCTGCAGGCCCAGGTCCAACTTTGGTCTGATGGACTTTAGCCCTCTGAGGAGATTTAGTTGAGGGTTCTATAGTCTACAGAGCGCCGTCAAGCCTTATCCCCCCACACACAACAAACTCTGTCAATGCCCTGGATCCTCACCCATCTATGCCTTCCAGCAGTCGAAAGTTCAGCTTGTCCTCAGGCTGCTGAAGATTGCCAGCATTGTCTATGAACAGCAAACGAGATGGGTCACTGCTCCGGACCTCGGGGGAGGAAGATGAGCGGGGCAGCCATTGGTAAGGGCAGAGTGTAGGTGGTCCCACTCTGTCCGTTTCAAGGGCATTCTCAGCTGTCCGTGCTTCAATCCCCCCACGTATTCACGTGACCCCGTGGCTGAGGGCTCAATCTACACCAGCACTGGGTACCATCTCTGTGGATCCTCCCAGCAGCCTTAGGAGGCATAAAACCATTAAGCAATTTATACAAGATCACACAGCTAATAAGCAACTGGGGCAAACCCAGACCTGAACCTGTAGCAGTGAGCTGTAACTCCACCTTCTAAACTGCAAGGCAAGTGGGCAGGTTCCTGGTGTAGTGGGGTCAAGAACGTGGGTAGAAACTGAACAGGCAGGCACAAAAGAGCAAAGGTATATTCCTTAGGGTCTGAAGCTTCATGCCATGCTGTGTGATGTTTAATTCATTTGGCTCTTTAGTCTTTTGACTTTTGGGGGGGGGGCACCTAGCTCCCAAATAAATCACACATGGAGGCTTATTCTTAGTTATGAATGCCCGACCTTAGCTTGGCTTGATTCTTGCCAGCTTTTCTTAAATTATCCCAGCTATCTTTGGCCTTAGGGCTTTTATCTTTCTCTGTTCCTGCAGATCTTTTCTTTGCTTCTTACTCTGCCTCTGGCTGGGTGGCTGAGTGGCTGACCCCTGACATCTCTTCCTTCCTCTCTCCTTTTCAGATGCTTTCTCTCCCAGATTTCTCCTCCTGTTTATCCTCTCTGCCTGCCAGCCCTACCTATTCTCTCTCCTGCCTCACCCTTGGCCATTCAGCTCTTTATTAGACCATCAGGTGTGTTAGACAGGCACAGTACCACACTTCACAGAGTTAAACAAATATGGGATAAACAAAAGTCACACATCTTAAAATAATATTCTACAACAAAGCAACAGGCATGCTTCTTCGGCATCTCTCAAATCCTTCCCACACTAAAACATGCAAGACAGAATTCTCTAGTACTTTAAAAAATATGGGGAGGGGCTGGAGAGATGGCTCAGGGAGTAATGGACTTCCATGCATTCATGAGAACCTGAAAACTCAGAACCTCGTAAGAAAAGCCAAGGGAGGTTGTGTGTTCCTGCAGTCCCAGCACTGAGGAACACAGAGAGGCGGGTCCCTAGGGCTAAAGGCCAGTCTCGCTGAATTGGCAATCTCCAAGTTCAGTGACAGACCCTGTCTCAAAAACTAAAGGTGTCAGCCTCTGGCCTCAACATGCATGCACTCACAGGAACACATACACACCTTTAAAATCTGGTGTTTGGCAATAAGAGGCCATCTCCTCCGGCCTGCACACCCAAGCACATAGTTCCCACACATTCCAGACTTCTATGCTACTTTCCGTAGCCATTCCTAGCAAGCTCGGCTTCAGGACCCAAGTTTCCCTCTGTCTGCCTCTTCTCCCTTCCACTCAGAGCCCAATTATCAAACTCTGCCTCTGAAAGATCTGAAGGGTCTTGAGGAGCAGTGAAAACAGGATTTTACATACACACACACACACACACACACACACACACACACCTCCTCAGCTGAGTTCTCAATATCCATTTTGCCTGTTTTATATATTTGGCTCCCTAGGAGTATTATTTAAGACAAAGTTACTGACAAAAGAAAACTGGAAACCCCTGTGTCTGGTCACCAAGAGCATCCTTTGCAAGCGAGAGGTGTACCCAGTGCTCACACCACAAGGCACTGTGCATGCAGAAGAAACATACCAGGATGTGCACCAGCCGTAGCTCATCTGGGTTCTGACATTTCTCTCGAAGCCCCTCTTCCACACAGGGGTCTGAGGGCTCGGGCTCAAAACCACAGCAGTAGCGATCCAGGCGGTCATGGACCTGTGGAGAAGGCTGGCATGGTACCTGTCTTCTCCAGACCCAATATCAAGGCCACCTAGCCCACTGGGTCCTACATCAGTCCAGGGCTGCTCAGGGACAGTATTCAGGGGCTGTCTGTGCCGACTGTGGTAGTCAGCTCTGCACTGGTGTCCTGCTAGAAGGGGGAATCTGCCCTGATTCTTTCTCTGTCTAAGTCTGAAGCTCGTATCAGTATCCTGAAGATGAGCTCGGGGTCACAGGGCCTCTCTGTCCGCTTCTCTCTGCACCGTTAGGAAGGGTGGCCAAGCCTAGTCAGTCAAGGCTGCCGGAGCCAGCCTTCTATCCTGAAACTTCAGAACCCAACCGTGACCACACAGTGTCAGACTGAGTTGATGGGCAGCAGGTTGGTGTACAGAATTAGCCGGTATATAAAGGACTGTCACTCAGATGGCCAGCCGTCATGGCCACCTCTGCCTCATTTCCTCCTCTCCACAGACTGTATCACCCTGAGTTCAGACACATTCTAAGTCATAAAGGAGAACACGCACAGTGGGATTTAAAGTCGAAGTAGTTGAAGCATAGATTGGGTCTCCCATCTGCGGACAAGGTGGGCTGCATATGGGAAGGGGAAGAAGGAAGATGGTGCCCACAAAAGCTGAGCCAGGTCTCTAGCCTGACTGTCTGAGCCGCAACAAATGATAGCCATGGACCTGTGGCCACCACCTGTGCTTGCTGATGCCTCCACAGTCACAGAGTGATGGTCCTGGATTCTCTGGTGTCTTCTCCTCTTCCTTCAGCCTTAATTAACAAGACTAAGACCAAAACAATCCATGATGAGCAATGGTGGGAGTTCCTTGATCTCTGAGTGGCTCACGCTTGCCACTCTTCATGGAGGCAGGGCAGTATCCCAGAGAGGGCGTGGGCCATTTGGGCATGCACACTGATCAGAAGCAGCCAGACTTCCTTCATGAGAGTCCCCTTCCCTGCTGAATTGTCTCGGCTGGCCTCACCAATTGCCCCAGACTGTCAGTCACACAGTGCAGATGGACTCAGGCTTCCCTGAACACAGCTCCCCTCTCATTTCTTCCTGATTCCCCAGTCTCCCCTCTCCCTCCTCCCTGATTCCCCATGCACTTTTCTTCTTCCTGATTCCCCAGATTTCTCTCTCCCTCCTCCCTGATTCCCCAGACTCTCTTCTCCTTCCTCTCTGATTCCCCAGGCTCCCAGGAGCTTCACTTTTTATTCTCAAAAGTTCTTTCCTTCCTTGTTGAAGTCATGCTGAGCCTTTGTCTTTTCTCAGCGCAGTGCTCCCTGAGGTTCCTCCCTTCCAGGTCCCAGGTGTGTAGTAGTTTAGTAGATGTTCTTGATGACATCTTGATGGGATGGTAAAGGTTACCATCCCATTCCCGGGTTCAGAGGCGCCTCCTGGCCCCTGAACAGGCTTTGCCTACCCATATGGCAGACTGGGAGTAATATAAAATTAATGTTCCTTCCACCTAGAGGCCACCTCCAGCCAGTGACCTGTCAGAGCTGGTGTGCAAACACTCCATCCTCAGCGGGCTGCCGTGCTTCCTAGGTCTCTTCAGGGTCACAGGGACCCTTGTTAGGGCTGGGTCTCACTTGCCCATGGTACAGCATTCTCGGGACCACACCTTCTGTGGGCTTTTCTTCCTCTCTGCCCCCTTCCTCATTACACAGCAGACTTCCTGCAAACACTCCCAAGTGAACTGCTCCCATCCACATCCTAGTACCGTGTTCTGTTTCAAGAGAAACCCCAGCTGGAGAGAGGCCCTCGCCATCTTTGTTGCTACCAGGTGCATAGGATCTAATTGATCCAGTCTTATCACGCATCAAGACCCTCTGAGTTCCATGCATCTCACCCAAGAATAAACAAATAACTAAAGGCAATACTCCACATGGCCACGTGGAGGGCCACGTGGAGAGCCACGTGGGCGGAGGAAAAACAAAGCAGGGCACATGCTTTGGGATTACTGTCGTAAGAGTTCTGTTGTCTACAATCCTGGCTCCCAGAGGCTCTCCTCGGGAAGCACTAGCCTTCCCCAGCTCCCCCAGGGCAACAGGCCCAAGGCCCAGAGTCCCACATGGAGTAAGGATTTTGGTGGCATGACTACATGCAGGCCTCGCACTTGGAGAGCAATGGTGTTATGTGCTGGTTAGTTTTCTGACAGCCTGACACAAACTAGGGTCATTTTGGACAAGGGACCCTCAACTGAGAAAATGTCTATCAGGTTAGCCTGCAGGGAATTCTGTGGGGGAATTTTCTTGATCAATGGGTGATGTGGAAGAGCTAAGCCCACTGTGGGTGGTGTCACCCCCACACTGGTGATCCTGGGTGTCATAACAAGCCAGGGTGAAGGAGCCATGGGAGCATGCCGGTAAGCAGAGCTTATCCATGGCTTCTGCTTCCGTTCCTGCCTCCAGGTTCCTGCTATCAATTCCTGACTTCCCTTCATGGTGGCCTGTAAGCTGTAAGATCAAATGAGCCCTGTCCTTCCCAAGCTGCTTTGGTCGTGGCACTTATCACGGCAATAGAAAGCAAATTAGGACAGTCTGTAGCCCAGAACCCTGCCTGCTTTCATTGCCTCTGACTGAAGGGTCAATGCTGAGGCAGCCCTGGCAAAACTGGAGCATGGACATGGTAACGGCTCTGCCCTGTGCTCAGCCCTGGACACACAGCCAGAGTCAGCTCAGGACTGCTGTTCCTGCCAACTCCCAACGCCATTCTCCCACATCTGACCACGTCTCCAGGACCCAGCACAGAACCCTGCTCCTGCCAGGAACCCCCCTCAACACCTCCAGGTGCCAGCACAAGGCCGCTGCTCCTGCCCCTCCCATCTCCATGAGCCAGAGCAGAACCCCTGATCCTGCCAACCCCACCCCCTCCACATCTCCAGGAACCAGACATGGCCCCTGCTCCTGTTCCCCCATATCTTCAGGAGCCAGCACAGAACCTCTGCTCCTGCCAAGAACCCCCCTCAACACCTCCAGGCACCAGCACAGGACCCCTGCTCCCACCCCATCTCCAGGCACCAGCACAGGACCCCAGCTTCCCCCCATCTCCAGGAACCAACACAGAACCCCTGCTCCTGCCAAGCCCCCCCCCCATCTCCAGGAGCCTGTGCAGGACTCCCGCTCCGCTCCGTACCCCATCTCCAGGCTGCTCTATCCAGATTTCCCAGCATGCAGCATTTATTTGCAGCGCAGGCTACAAGGCGTGCCAGCCAGTGTAACGGGCAGTGCTGGCCTCCTGAAATCTACTCCCACCTGGACTCCTGGCAGAAAGAGCATGCTCACCCAGGTGCCAGGTTGATGATTTTGCCACGCTATTTTGTTTTCCGTCAGCTGAATGTGACCAAGCTCAGGCTGCAACCTGAAATTCCTTCAGGACTTGGCTCTCTTCCACTCTTTACAAAAATGAGTTACCCAGAGAGGCGATGGCTCCCCGCAGTCCCAGTGCCCTGAGCCAGCTTGGCAGTGTTGCAACCATACTCCGTCTGGGGCTTTCAGTAAGTAGTGAGGGCCTTGCACATCTCAGGCTGTGGAGGCGTCAACCTGGGAGCTCTACCCAGCACAGAGCGCCGGTTCCCTCTAGGCATGAGAGGGATGCCCACTCCATCTGTGGAGAGGACAGTGAGCCCTGGGGAAGATCGACCGCCACACTGAAGGCCACACACAGTGAGGAGTGGTGATCATGGATTTGAAGCCAGGAAGTCGGACTCTGACCATGGAGACAGATGGTGTGGCAGGCGTATCTTCTCTGGCACTCAGAGCTGTGAATTCTTGGACAGGAAAATAAACGACCGGGAGAAAATAAATACCTAAAATAAACAGGCTGAGCCCAGGACAGAGAATGCATTCAACACAAGTTGAAACTTAGTGAGGCCTCTGAATGCAAGAATAAATAAATCATGAAGAACACACAGGGTCCCCCAAGGAGGCCTGTGGTCACTGGAACCTGTCCTCCATACCACCACCTGGTTTCGGAGGAGGCCTGGCTCTGTCACCTCCCAAACAGAATATCTGACGGGACAAGACACTGTAGTTAATCGAGGAAGATCGCAGGCCCTTCTGATGGGATGGGAGGCCAGGGAGGGGCCAACACAGGGCATGGGTGGCCCTAGTCCTCTGACTAGACTCACCAGGTTCCTGGGCCAAAACAGGTGCCTGGTATTCATGTGGCCCACACCCTTCAGCTGGGACCTTCCTCACTTCCTTTTCCCCTCGGCAGCCCAAGTATCCCAAACCTTTGCTGGGGTGAGGTCATTCTTTCCTACATAGAAATGCTGTCTTTCCCAGAGAGCTAATTCCTCATGTCTTAGGGCCATACACACACACGCACATGTGCACAAATACACACATACACACATATAAACACAGCACACATACACGCCCAGACACATATACACACACATGCACATGTGGATACACATACGTACACATGCATACATACATACACAACAATTAAAAATAAATAAGTCAATGAATAAACTAGGCGTGATAGCATGAGCATCTAGATATAGCTCTGGAGAAGTGGGGACAGATGGATCCCGGTTCAGCTGCCTGCCAGGCTAGACGAGGCATCACAGACTGGCTCCAGGCCAGTTTATAAGAAAAGTCAACAAGCACCTGAGGAATGCAACTCAAAAGTTGACAACCTCTGGCCTCAACACACACACACAGACACACTCATTCTCTCACACACTAACTCACTCACACACACACAGACACACACTCACACAGACACACACAAACACAGACACACACACTGTCACACACACTCACATACACTTACACAGACACACTCACACACATACTCACAAAGACACAGACACACTCACACACATACTCACAAAGACACACACACACACACACATACACACCTGTCCACCTACCCATGAACATACAAGGGAGAGGGTAGAGAGTAAAATGGAGTTCATAGAGTGGGGGAGGAATGAGATTACCATATAGAAATCATAGCCACTCCACAGCTAATGGACTGC